GTTTCATATTTTGATCGAACTTAATTCTCGAATCTGAACGTTAAGTCTAACTTAATATGCTAAATGCCTTAAGTTCAGTTCGAAATTGGGCTAAACTGAATGTATTCGTTTCGGTGTAAATCTGTAATTGGTTTCAGCGTAAATCCGTGTTCGTTTCGATGTAAATCTGTGTTCGTTTGTGGCCAATTTTCGAGGGCGAAGCCATGCGAGCAAAGCCGTCGGCTTATCAATGGTTAAAACAGAATCCTTTCAAATGGAGTTCTACAAACGACCATTTACGTTATTATATGTATATCGTAATATATATGTATATATTATTATATAATACATATTATATTATTATTATTATACGATATTTATTATATTATAATTATTATTATTATATATATATATTATATTATAATAATTATACAATATACAGGGTGTTCCACAATTATTTTAACAGCCGAAAATGCGGGGCAGCTGAGGTCATTTGAAGTAACTTTTTCCTTTGCGAAAATGCAATCCGCGGCTTTGTTCACGAGTTATTAACGAAAAACAGTGATATTTTTAAGAAAAACGCTGTTCACCTTTACTTTAGAACGTCTGAAGAATATTTACTAATTTTTCGGACCCGAAATAATATGAAGTTTAACCGTGACAGTCGTTTTAATTTTCTGGGGTGTATGACACCACGTGTGTACCATATGAAATTTTTACGCGAGGTGTACAGTAAAGATTAACGAATGATTTGCAAAGCTGATTTAATAATAAATAAGGGACGTAAAGGATTTGTTTATTAGAGAGATATGAAAAATATTATCAGTAAGAAACTCACCCATTTAGTTGAGGATGCGTTTGCTGGCTGAAATTCACGATGTCGAAGGGCATTGACCTTGTACAACGTACAGCTGATCTTTCACTGCACTGTCACCAAACACTGATCACTTAATTAATCACTGATAATCCGAAACATTTGTGGATATTACGAAAGATGACTGAGACGCGTTTGCAGATAATCGTTTATACGACACGTTCGCGGATAATCGTTTATTCGACGTGTTCGTTCGGCAGTCGACGTTTCACTGCCAAAAAATCGAGGCCTCGACCGTGGGCCCTTGTCGTTCGTCTTTCGGCCGTCCGAGGAAATAACACCCGATACCATTTTCTTCGAAGCGCAGGGTAACGCCAAATGAAATAAACAAGATATGCCGAGACGTAAACTGTGTCCGACTCGCTGTCACCCTGCGCTCTTAGAACGTAATTAATGGCCGTGCGAAGAAAATGGTATCGAGTGTCATTTCCTCGGACGGCCGAACGACGAACAAGGACCCACAGTCAAGGCCTGAATTTTTCGGCAGTGAAACGTCGACTTCCGAACGAACGCG